GGGGGGGGGGGGGGGGGGGGGGGGAGAGAGAGAGAGAGAGAGAGAGAGAGAGAGAGAGAGAGAGAGAGAGAGAGAGAGAGAGAGAGAGAGAGAGTGCAGACAGTTTGTTTTTGCGATCCGTCTCTTTTTTTCCAGATTTGACTCATTTGAGCCCATTCCTATGTTGGGCCAACTGTCAGTATCTGGACGGGAAGTTGCCCCAAATACAGTTATAACTTATAATGACAACATCAGCAGCCATTAATGAAGAACATTTTGCCTTGGGCAATGGGGCCATAAATAAAGTTTGTCGTTTAAACTTTTAAAAGTTAGTAAATGAAAGAGTTCATAAAATGTATTAAAATTTTAAAATCATAAAATGTGACGGTTTTGTGAAGGTAGAAATGCTCTCATCTGAGCAATGAGCCCAGTGGCATCTACGGCCTTACTCTGCTACACAACATTCTAAATGCACCTGGACTGACTCATGCTCAGGTACTCTCGGACTGATCGAACATGTTGAATGTATCAGGACTATGATCGGCCCCAGATACATTTAGAGTGCTGTGTAGCGGAGCGAAGTATCCTTTTAGAGGATGACCTAAAATTGGGTCAATTTAACTCAATTATGTTTATTAGTAAGTAAAGTAGAACGTACATCTCAGAGAGAGAGAATTGTCTACAAATTTGTAATTACTGGATGGAAAACTCCGCACTTAAGGAGAGCTTAAAAGTAGATAGTCGGGGAAAAAAAAGAGTAAATAGTCGAGTGGTTGCACCAGCCAGAACTCATTTTCATATGCGATGATTCTTTATCATGACATCTGCTGATGTACTTCGGGCCGTGCCTTGTGTGTCAAATGTGACACCATATATGGTCGTTTAAAGCACCACTCCAACAGCCCCTGCACTGATCATTTTTCTTGTCTACAAGTACCGAAAGATGGGTAATGCAATTAGATCTAGGCTACCAGCCAGGCTGCCCGGGTCACCTTGTTTGTCCAGGCTGCCTGGCTGTGCAAGGACCATAAAAGGTCCCATGCACTAGGGGGGGGGAAAACCTGAAAAAAAATTATGTTATGCAGAATAATAAACTGAACAACTTTTGCCTCAGAGTCACATCGAAATTCTTGACCCAAAAGAAAGAAAAAATATGAAAAACAATTATGTTATGCGGAAAAATAAACTGAAGAACTTTTGCCTCAGAGTCACCTCGAAATTCTTCACCGATTTTTTTTATTTTGTTTTTGGCCCGGCCGGGAAGTGGTCCCGTGCCACTCTCGTAGCCTAGAATTAGATGCAAAATGCCTGAAGGCATAAGGGATCAGAGAAGGCAAAGCAGCAAACAGGTAAACAATAAGGGGAGGAAATTCAATGAGCAAGAGAACGAGAAGGCCCAGAGAAAAGCGATGGCGACAAATACGCATGAAAAACAGGCACTGAAATCCTACAGTGCCCGGGCATGGCACAGGTTCAGTGGGAAAGGGTACCACAGTATTTTGCCTCTCGGCCACACTGTAGATCCTTTTTTTTCCTTTTTTGCAGTTTTTTTTCTCTTTCTTTTTTACAATTCCGGAGTATTTCTCGATTTACGTGTGTCATCCTTAGATGCGCAGGGGCCATTTTGCTAATTACCCTTGTCTGTATCATTCCAATTTTAACGGATGTCCCAAAGGGCACAACACTTTGGATTCTTTTGTTGTTTTTTTACTGACTGAATCTGGCTTTGATTGCCTTAAGATACATCTGGCCAAGTGCTTGTGTGAGTTTCCCCTGATTCTTCCCAAAGTTTAACAGCACTGTATATTCTAGGGTCGGGGAAATGCAATTTTTTGTTTGTAAAAGAAAAAGAATAGGTCTGGACTCGGGATGGAGTAGTGGTTTAAGAAGCACCCCTCTCTCATTTGCTCTCACCCGGTGGACTGGCTTTGTATTTTGAATGTTTCTCTTTTATTTTGCGCAGGAGATTGCCTCCTTGGACAAATCCTTGGTTGCTCGGAGCCATCGTCACATCATTTGTACTGCACTTCTTCATATTGTATGTTCCACCGGCAGCTGCCATGTTCTCGGTAAGTACCAATTACTAATACATAGGCTTTGTGGGCTTGGACCCCATTCTGTACCAGTTGTGCGACTTTTGGGGGGGGGGGGAAGTTTTTAAAATTTTAAAGGTTTTTTGGTTTTATTTTGGTCCCCAAAAAAGATTCTCAAATGCCTTTTTCTATCGCCAGTGTGCCCACAAAAGAATTTCTTTTTTCTATTTTTTTGGGATAACGTACTAACGTTATTTGTAAGCAGAAAGTTCATGCCAATGGGTTGGATCAGTCTCAACAACTCTTGTGCCCAGTGGATGCTAACCTGGTCATTGAAACATCGAAAAACATTGCAGCTGCGAGGAATCAGGCCCTCGCACACGCATGACAGCAACAACCAGGGTCATAATTTTCGATCGAAGTCAAGGTACATGGGTCAAAAGCCACGTCCCCCTAGCCCCTGAAAGGTCTGAGAAAAGTCCTAAGGTCTAGGGGTATAGGACTTAGGGCCGAAGGAAAACGCACTTGTGAGCGTCCAGGCACAAAGTGCGGCAATTCTGACATCCCTGCGGAATTGCCGGACACAAAGTGTTGAGGTAATGCGTACTATTCTAGAAACAGTGTGTGAACCACGCTTCCTGAAATGTTCCAACTCTGGTGAGCCTGGCTGCTCGCATCAAATGAGGCGATCAGTGCTCCTACGGGAGACAGTTGTTTTTTAGTCACCTGTCCCCCAGTCAATATCAATAGATGGGAAGGTAATCAACTCCCATAGGGTCAGTATCCGCCGAGTTGGACCTTAGTACCTTACCACTTAGTTACACTGGCAGGCAGGAAGTATAACAAACAGCGTAGGCCGCTCGCCCTAGCCAGTGACCGCCAAGCTGTTTGGGATCCTCAGAGACTTTACTCCTGGACTTCACTCCTGGAAATTGAAGAGTCCGGCCCAACTCAGGAGAAGTAGACCAAGGGGCAGAGATTTCTCAGCAATTCAACAGCGGCCATAGATGGATGTTGCAATCGAAGGCTGTCTTCACCTTTCCAGGAGATTCTAGGGCCTACCGGGTCAATGCGTATTGAGGCCGAAAGCAGATCTGGGCCTTTCAGATCGAGAAGTCTCCACCGTCGTTGGAGGCAACTGCAGGCAGGACAGGACTGCGTGCAGCCTCCTCAGTTAGCATAAAAAGTTAAAAACAGAGGAGGCCGCCCAGCCAGGACATTTGGGCACATGCTGCTTCAGAGTGCTGGAAGCGCTTTTGAAGGAAGTTAGTGTCCGTGGGGAAGACGCTGCTGAAGTGGCAGCTAGAAGGGAGGGGCACCAGCCATGGCCGGCTGGGCGAGGACTTGCTGAGTGGTGCCAGAGCAGTCATTGCAGTGCATGTAAAAGGGCCTTTACCTGTTTAGCCCCTGAGAAACAAACGCAGCATAATGGGGCCATTCGGCCAGAACCCATCTCGTGGAAAGCAGACCAAAAGACAAGCTCCCTGGGTCAAGAGTCACATCCTAAATGTAGTGAGAAGTCGTTTCAAGGAGACACAGTCGTGCCCCTGGATGAACAGTTGCAGCATTCCTTTCTAGGTAGGAGTCACGTCTGTTCGCCCAAGGGCTGGGCAAAGTCATGCCTGTTCGAGTGTCTGTTCAGGTAGAAGTCAAAGGGTAGGTCCCAGTCCAGTAAAGGTCCAGCAATCAGTCTAGATTCAGGGCAGAAGTCCGAAATTCAGGCCTGAGGGCCGCCACAGCAGCAGACCCTGAGGGAAAGGTACTGGGACACACTCTACACATTCTGGGACAGGGAAAGAGTCCCAAGGGGCCTCGCCAGGATAGGCCACTGGTATAAAAGAGCAGGCCAGCCTCCCACATGACAGATCTCCAGTAGCATTGATGCGTGGAAGTGCCGTGGCACTTGTGCGCTAGCATGCAGAGGGAGAGTGCTGGCTTGATGCTGCGCAAGAGAGTGAGATGCTGGGCGCTGGCTTGCTGAAGCAGCCATAGCTGCGCCAGCCTGTGCTAGTAGTAGAAGTGATAGAGTTAGTACATCAGTGAGTAGTATTCAGAGTAGCTCCTCGTGTGTTAGGGAGTGTGCGTAGATGAGGTGTGAGTAGGAGGACGACCAGAAAAAAGGACAGAGGGGAGTGAAAGCTATGGTGACACTTACCTGCTAAGCGCCATGCTCTGATGAGGGCAGAGGACTTGTGATCATGTTCGGCGCTGTTCATCTTGAACTTGTGAAAAACTCTCTTAATCTGGTTAATATAATTGAGCTGAGTTCCTTGGTCTCGTTCATCTCTCATTGAAGCTTGGTGTGAGCTATTGCGATTTCGTACAATGTGTGTGAATGAATGATATCTGGCGCACTCCAGCAAGTGATAACAGACAGGTTCCTTGCAAATTTGGTATCAGAGCAGAACTCGTTACTCTCACTGAGGCGCTGGCATGACTAAGGCTGGCGAGAGAGAGATATGCTGGCTCGAAGAATGCTGGCTATGGTGGAGAACTAAGAGGTGTGCGTTGAGGATTGGGATAAGGAGAGGGTAGCAGGCCGAAGAGGAGGGGGCTAAGGAGGAGTATCTTACCTGTGCTAGGAGCGTGGAGAGTGGAGCGATTGAGGAGTCTTCATCGACGTCCGCAAGGAAGAGAAGAACCTCTTACCCCTTACCTGGCTGTGTGTGGAGTTGTGTCGAGTACCTTCTTCTACCCCTCCTTTCTGGTGGTCGTTGCTGCTGCTGTCTGTCTACGTCTGGTCCGGTCTGAAGGTTAGGGAGCGAGAGTCCGGTCAGGTCAGAGTCACCATCTGGTCCTACATCCCTGACATCTGGTCTGACGTCTGCGCTAAGTGGTAGGAAAGGTAGGAGTAGGCTGTGGGTATGGTGGCAGACTGCCACGTCGAATAGCACATGAGTCATAAGGCAATAAATGAACAGCGGCAAAGTTGACTTGCGAATGAAGTGTCGCCTGTGCATCTGACACTATGTAAGCTCCAGCTTGGTCCTGCGCAGAAGACCAGTACGTTAGTTAAAGGAAAAAAAGAAGAAGGAACAGAAATAGAAACAGGACAGGGCCAGACAAGTATAAGTACAACCAAGGCATATTGACGTTGAAGACATGCAGCAAGCAAAGCAAGAAAAAAGGGAAAAGAATTCTGGTTTTGATTAGCGAAGTTAAACTTAGTCTTATTTTCTGAAATTCGTTATTTCTGAGACAGCAACCTCCAGAGTTTTGGGGGGGGGGGGGGGGGGAAAGAGTATATCCCATCCACGTGGCAGAAAAGTTGGACAAGAGGGGAATTCTTACCTGGTGGGACAGCGGAGGGGTACCTGTGCTGCACCCCGTCATGGACGACTACCCCATGCAAGGCATTATGGCCCTCTTGGTGTTGATGGGCCCACTCTTCAAACTCTTCTTTCCCCCGGGCTTCGGGAGAGTGTGTAGCTCCCGTATGATGATGAGGTCAGGTACTGTGAAGCCAGGGCCTACGCCTGCAGAACAGGCTGAAGTGGAACGGCGACAGGCCGAAAAGAAAAAGAGAAAGAAACAAAAAGGAAACAGAAGAAGAGATGAAGAAAGTGAAAAAGGAAAGAGAGAAGTTAGAGAAAGAGATGAAACAGAAAGAAAGAAAGCTCCAGGCAGAGCTAAAGGCAGTTGAAGAAGAAGAAGAAGAAGAAGGAGAAAAAGAAGAGAATGGTGAAAGATTGCACATGCGTCATACAGAAAGAGGGGAAACCAGCAGTACCAGTGGTATTACGATTGAGCTCGACCCCATGAACTGGCTCGAACAGTTCGGATACAAGACTGTTATGGTGGTTGAGTCGGAGGAGGAGAGAAATGCATTTATTGCAGAGCTAGCTACCATAACAGATCCTAAAGAAAGAGATCTCTTGATAGCGGAACGAAAAGCAGAACTGAATAATAGGATGGCGACAGCAAAGAGACAGGAATTTAAAGAAAAAAAAAGATTAAAAGAGGAGGGGGAAAAGTTTCAGAGACAATTACAGGAACAGAAACAGCAGCAAGCGGCCGCGGATGATCGCCTTACCCTCCTCACGAACACTCTCCTTCACACCAATGAGCAACTCGCTGCGTTGACCAAGTCTGTGCAAAAGTTAGAGAGTCACCAATTCGAATTTGAGGGAGTGTGGAACAACTTTCTACAGCGGTCAGCGCAGGAAGTTGACCAGCACATGTTCAACTGCATACAAAAGTTGGATGAGCAGTTGGATGAGCAGTTGGCCAAGAAATTGGCAGATTCCGCCGTGGCAAAGAAGGTGCAAGGAGGCGGCAGAGGAGACGGAGGAGACGGAGATGGAGATTGGGGAGATAGAGACAGAGACAGAAAACAAAAGGGGGTGCTGCCAAATGAAGTGGGTCAAATCAATAAAATTAAAGTTAAAATCCCATGGACATATAATGGTAAGAAAGAGCAAAGTGTGCTACACTGGATTGCCGCAGTCGAGTCGTATGTCTACGGACAACGCATTCCGTACTGGGACAGGGTGCTTATGGCAAGTTTGTGTATGGAGGGAGATGCCATGAGCTTCGCAATCTCCCTGCAGAAGGAAGCAGGTTGTGGATCCATGGTAGAGTATTCCCAGAAAACCCGCATTCTTTACAGCCATCCGAGAGCGGTTTGAGGACAAAAACTTAGCCCGCAGGACAGAGATGTTAGTATTGAACCTCCCAGCCACAATATGGAAAAGCACCTTTGCGCTTAAAGCAACCATAGATGAACTGCTGCAATGCAATGAACATGGATTGACCCCTACTCAGATATTGAATAGTTTTGCACGCGCACTACCCGACCCCCTTCGTACTCAGTTGTATCCCCGTACAAAGGAAGAGGGGATGACCTACGAGAAGTTCAGCAAGATCGTCATAGATCACGCTGGCTTCTTAGTTGAGGCCAATTATTGCCATTATTGGAAAGATCTGCAAGTGGGGAAGAAATGGCAAAACCGCACTATCTCAGGGTCGATACCTGGGAAAGACAACCTTCTTCTGACCTTTGAAGAAGGAGGTGTCGAAATACTTTCTTGGGACCAAGTAGACTATGGTCTTGAGGAAGGACCCAGCGGTTCGGTAGCTCAGGAGGGGAGCTACGCGGCCGTTGCAGCCCGCGGGGGAGGGCGGTAAGGAAGAGGATGTGGCCGAGGAAGAGGAGGCCGCGGACGTGGTGGAAGAGGATCTGGCACCCAGAGGGGTGGTGGAGAAGGTAGCTACTACGCGGGAGGAAGGGGTAATGGTCCCTCGCAAGGTGGTCGTGGTTCTTATTTCACTTGGGGTAGAGGAAGAGGCATTTGATACGGGAACTGGGATAAACCCTATCCGCCCCATCCAGGTCTTCCAGAAGGGGAGCCTTGGAAAAACTTGGGGATAACTGAGCAAGGTTGGCAAGACAGGAAGAAAGCTTACCAATGCCTCAAGTGTGGGGACCCCGACCACATTGTCCCTTGTTGCCCTGACTACAAGGTAGCAAAAGGGAATAGCCAGTAGAGGTCTCAGTTGCCTCTGCAGGGACTTCGGATGTTGAAAAACAGAAATCCTCCCATTCGAAGGTCCCAATGGCAGAAACTGAAGAGGTAGACAGGCCCCATCTAGTGCACTGTCCAGAGGTGGCAAACGTATGCATCTCTCTAGATGGATCCCTCGCTGGCGTGGGTGATGAGTTGGCAGCCTGGATTGAAATGAAGAAACGCAAAGGACAACTAATAATTGCAGATCTTAAAATTAATAAAGTAAGAGTAGGAGGAATGATTGACAACGGGTCTACACGCTGTTATATTAGCAAGAAAGGTTTGCAGAAATTGCATCTTGGGCTGAAGGTAAAACAATTGGATGAGCCTATTGTAAGTAAGTTAGCGAATAGTACAGAGATTGTAATGGATCGATACGTCGAGGGGGTAGAGACATACTTTCGGCTCGAGGCAGAGGGGAAGGTGGAACGTGTTCTCCACTCTCTGACTCTCTTGATGGAAGATAGTCTGCCCTTTGATGGTGTTGCTAGGCATGGATTGGGGTGAAGCTGCTAATGCGGATATCAAGGGACCATGAGTGTTGGCTCCCAAGTCCGCAGGGTGGAAGGAAGAAAATCCGCCTATTCCATGAATCTGGTAAAGAAAGCAGCTTGGCTCATTGTTGTATGAGTGTCCCCGCGTTCGCCCGTCATGTAAGGAAATATAACTTGTATGATGAAGTGTTTGTTGCATATGTGCGCCCAGTGAAAGAGGGTGAAGTAAAGGAAGAGGCCAAGTACCCAGAAATTGAAAAGATTCTAAAGGATTTCGCAGATGTGGTTGAGGCCCCAAGCGGTGTAGTTGAGAGACCAATTAAGCATCGCATAGACATTATCCCAGGAAGTCAGATTCCTAAGGGACCCATTTACCGAATGTCACCAAAAGAGTTGGATGAACTGCGATCCCAACTGGATGAATTGCTGGAAAAGGGATGGGTAAGGCCTAGTTCCTCGCCCTATGGTGCGCCTGTGCTGTTTGTGCCTAAAAAGGATGGCGGGGTACGCATGTGCATAGATTATAGAAGGTTAAACGAGATAACTGTAAAAAACGCAGAGCCGTTACCGGGAATAAATGATTTGCTGGATCGTGTGCAAGGTTGCAAATACTTCACGAAGATTGATCCGAAGTCCGGCTGCCATCAGATTGAGGTAGAGCCGGAAGACCAATATAAAACTGCCTTCAGAACGAGGTACGGGCACTATGAGTTCGTAGTGTTGCCCTTTGGTCTTACTAACGCATGAATGAGCTTTTCCGTGAATGGCTTGACAAATTTGATGTCGTTTATCTCGATGATATTTTGATTTTTAGTAAGAATTTGGATGAACATTGCGAGCACCTTCGACTTGTGCTAAATAAGTTGCGTGAAGCGAATCTATAGATAAACGCGAAGAAGTGCGATTGGGCCAAGCGTCAGGTTTTGTATTTAGGGCATGTGCTTGATGGCGATGGAGTCAAACCGGAGGACTCGAAAATTGCAGCAGTTCGAGATTGGCCAAACCCCCGCACTTTGACCGAGTTGCGGTCGTTCCTTGGGCTAGCCAACTACTATCGGAAGTTCGTTAAACACTTCACGATAATAGTTGTACTCCTTCGCAGATTGCTTAAGAAAGAAACTATCTGGAAGTGGGATTCAGACTGCACAACTTCGTTTAAGCGTCTGAAAAAGTGTCTGATTAACTATCCAGTTTTGAAGGTTGTCGACCCTTCCTTGCCCTTTGTGGTCACTACTGACGTAAGTCAATACGGGATAGGTGTTGTACTCCAGCACGATGATGGGCATGGGTACAAACCTGTAGAATTTATGTTCCGACGACTACCTAACGAGAAGGTCGCTGCTTCCACGTACGAGAGAGAATTGTGTGCTCTCAGGGAAGCCCTTGATCATTGGCGACACTATCTCCTAGGAAGGCACTTCAAAGTATACTCGGATCACGAGACACTTCGCTGGCTTAAGACGCAGGCCCGAATGACACCTAAGTTGACTAGGTGGGCCGCCGAAATAGACCAGTATGACTTTGACTTAAAGCCAGTCAAGGGTAAGTATAACGTTGTCGCCGACGCATTGAGTCGAAGATCAAATTTCTTTGGTGCCATTGTAACCTATTTAGATGCGGGCACCGACCTACAAGAAAGGATTAAGAATGCGTACTCCACTGATCCTGTCCATGGCGCTATGCTTGAGCGTGTGCAGGAAGCGCCAACAAAGTTTCCTAACTATCGTGTGACGCAAGGACTGTTGTTTGAAAGAACCGATGTGCATGATAGGCTTTGTATTCCGAATGTGGAAGAGATTAAAAGTCTGATCTTAGGGGAGTGTCATGACACTGAAGGCCATTTTGGGTGGAAGAAGACATATGCGAACCTCTTGCGTTCCTACACCTGGCCTTGCATGAAACCTGATTGCATTGCCTATGTGCAGGGCTGTCACGTGTGCCAAAGAAATAAGAGCACCACACAGCCTCCCCTTGGTCTACTTAAGCCTTTGCCTATTCCAACAGGTCCAGGCGACTCTGTGTCCATTGACTTTATGGACACCAAGGTAAGAAGCAGGAATGGAAAATCGCAAGTGAAGAAGCAGGAATGGAAAAACGTAAGTGATGGTAATCGTCGACAGGTTTAGTAAGTATGTTGTTTTTGTAGCATTACCAGCGGAAGCGAAAACGGAACTGGTAATCTGGGAGTTCTTTAACCATTGGGTAAAAGATTATGGACATCCCTTGACAATTGTGAGTGACAAAGATACACGGTTCACAAGTGAACAATGGCAACAACTAATGAATGTTTACAGCTCTAAGTTGACTATGTCATCAGGTAGACATCCTGAGACAAACGGCCAAACTGAGCAAATGAACAAGATTTTGCAGCAGACGCTGCGTATGAACATCCGTCCCGATCAGATTGACTGGGACGAGCATTTGCCCAAAGTTGCTAGTGCCTATAATAACTCTGTTCACCTATCTACATGCAAGACTCCGATGGAGTTACATCTGGGATGGCGTCCGCGCAAACCTATCGATCGTCTAAACCCGGATCAAGTGCATAAGCTTCCACTAGGAACAAGTGAGTTTGCTATATAATATCAAAAAGATATAGAGAAAGTAAAGGAAAATATACTGAAAGCACAACGTCAAATGATAGAACAGGCAAATAAGCACAAAAGACCTTCTCAGATTGTTGTAGGTGATCTGGTATGGGTCAAGTCTAAAGAGTTTGCTCCTGAAGAGAACATATCCCAAAAGTTGTTGCCAGCCTACAGAGGACCATGGCAAGTTCTAGATGTGATAGGAGATGTGGATGGACCTTCTTATGCTATTGGGATTCCTCTGCACCTACACACGTATCCAGTATTCCACGCCTCAAAGCTCTTACCCTGCGTGAACAATGAGCTATTTCCCAGTCGCAGATCGGCGATTCCTCCAAGTATGGATGGGAGGTATGACGTGGACAAGATTATTGTTGAGAGTACTGTTCAGACTGGACGTAGAGGCAGACCCCAGCAACAATATAAAGTAAGATTTGCCTATCAGGACCCAAGTGAAGATCGCTGGTTTACAAGGGAAGAATTGATTGATTTTGCACCTCATATTGTATCTGCCTATGAACGAGCAAGAAGAGGAATAAGCATTATTGATAGATGAAGGATTTCTCAGAGGACTTTGAAACTAGGCCGGCGAGAGTAAAAGGGCCTTTACCCGTTCAGCCCCTGAGAAACGAACGCAGCATAATGGGGCCATTCGGCTAGAAACCATCTCGTGGAAAGCACGCCAAAAGACAAGCTCCCTGGGTCAAGAGTCACATCCTAAATGTAGTGAGAAGTCGTTTCAAGGAGACATAGTCGTGCCCCTGGACGAACAGTTGCAGCATTCCTTTCTTGGAGTCACGTCTGTTCGCCCAAGGGCTGGGCAAAGTCATGCCTGAAGTCATGCCTGTTCGAGTGTCTGTTCAGGTAGAAGTCAAAGGGTAGGTCCCAGTCCAGTCAAAGTCCAGCAATCAGTCTAGATTCAGGGCAGAAGTCGGAAATTCAGGCCTGAGGGCCGCAGCAGCAGCAGACCCTGAGGGAAAGGTACCGGGACACACTCTACACAGTCTGGGACAGGGAAAGAGTCCCAAGGGAGGCTGATTTAGGCCTCACCAGGATAGGCCACTGGTATAAAAGAGCACGCCAGCCTCCCACATGACAGCTCTCCAGTAGCATTGATGCGTGGAAGTGTCGTGGCACTTGTGCGCTAGCATGCAGAGGGAGAGCGCTGGCTTGATGCTGTGCAAAAGAGTGAGATGCTGGGCGCTGGCTTGCTGAAGCAGCCATAGCTGCGCCAGCCTGTGCTAGTAGTAGAAGTGATAGAGTTAGTACATCAGTGAGTAGTATTCAAAGTAGATCCTCATGTGTTAGGGAGTGTGCGTAGATGAGATGTGAGTAGGAGGTCGACCAGGGCTACTACATTGGGACAAAGGGAGAGAGAGAGGACATACAGAGAGAGAGAGAGAGGAAGGACAAAGGGGAGTGAAAGCTATGGTGACACTTACCTGCTAAGCGCCATGCTCTGATGAGGGCAGAGGACTTGTGATCCTGTTCGGCGCTGTTCATCTTGAACTTGTGAAAAACTCTCTTAATCTGGTTAATATAATTGAGTCGAGTTCCTTGGTCTCGATCATCTCTAGTTGAAGCTTGGTGTGAGCTATTGCGATTTTGTACAATGTGTGTGAATGAATGATATCTGCCGCACTCCAGCAAGTGATAACAGACGAGTTCCTTGCACATGTGTTCAAGCACTGTGCACACAGAGCACACACTGATAGGAGAGCAGAGTGGTGCCAGAGCAGTCATTGCAGTGCATGTGTTTGAGCACCGTGCACACACAGCACACTGATAGGAGAGCGGTTCAAGAGTCGACCAGTTCATCAAACACGATTAGTCGGCCAGATCTCTTACATACACAGATTAGCTCATTGTGCAAGGAACATGAATGTGGAGAAGCACAGAGATACCAATTTCAAAATCACACTGAAGTCTGAGTAGTCAAAGCAAGAGCAAATAGCGCATCGGAACCAGGATACCATCCATTTGAGAACGATACAGCAAAAGTCGTGAGTCAATGTCCAAGCCCAATAGGGCAACCCAACAACATAACGCGAAGTAGCTCTCTCTCTCTTGAATGGCGCCAGGCACCCTATCTACTCTACAACCTATACCTACAACTACAGCACGGAAGCAACCAGACAACTTGACAACCAGCGAGTGATGACATCAACACCAATGCCGACCTCCTCTCCACCATGTACGTCTCTCTCTCTCTTCCCTCACTCTCCCTTGTTATCCCACACAGCGCCCTTCACCTTCCGAAGAACCACCTTCGCCCTCACCCCCTCCAGCGCCCTCATGCAGCCTGGCTATGGCTGCCAGCACCCTGTGCCCAGGCTGCGCCCTACCGCTTAGCGCCAGCCTGCCGTCACTCAGCCTAGCGCAGCGCAACACCTGCACTCGCAATGCAGCAGCGTGTCGGCTTTGCTCGCAATGGCCAAGATCCCTGCCCACTCGCGTGCTCTGCCTATATGCCAGTGTTGCGTGTGGGCGGTCTGCCTTGAGCCTGCGCCTAGGCCACAGTACCTGTACCCAGGCCCAATGCGGTTGGGGCCCACGTAATACAATTGTGCCTCTTTCATCAGAGCCTGCGTCCAAATCCAGATAATGGACCGGTTTCCCATTGGCATTTTCGGTCTCTATGTCCAGCATGCAATGTCGGCCTCACGTTTATGCGCCCAGGGCCTAACCAATTTTGGGGCCCTGGTCCTGCAGCATTTGCAGAGATCTGGTACTTGGTGCATTCCAACCAACTGGCGTGCGGCAACTGTATGGACCCCATGTCATGAAATGTTGAGATAAAGGGGCTCTCGTTGATTTGTTGGCCCGTCTTCACTTAGGGCGGGCACGAGGCTGGTTGGGGGCCTTAGCCCAGAACATTGATAATACAAGCTGCGCTACTTGGTTCTTATCTCATCTCAATCTGTCTTTGAGTGAGACCATTTTGTACGGGTGATGACATGTATGCATGTGGTGTGATGCACTCGAGCAAGTTGTGAACAATCAGGTTTCTTGCAATTCTGGTATCGGAGCAGATACTTGTTGTACTCACTGTGCTGGCATGAGTAAGGCCGGTGAGAAGAAAAAGAGCACGCTGGCTCGTTGATGATGCTGGCGATGGTGGAAGAAGAGGTGGATAGGGATATGGGAGAGGAGTAGGCCGAAGAGGAAGGGGCAGAAGTGATACTTACCTGGAGCGTGGAGTGCGGAGCAACGAGGAGCCTTCATCGATGATCGCTGCGAAAGAGAGAAGCACTCCTTTCCCCTTACCTGGCTGCATGTGTGTGTGCATCTCTACTCCTCATCCTCTCTGGGGTTCGCTGCTGCTGCTGTCAAATCGAGTCCCAGGGTCAGTAGTCTGGATGATCGAGGTCAAAGGTTCTGGTCACGTCAGGATCCAAAGTGATTAGAGTCCTTCTATCTTCTACCCTCTAGTCTGAAGTCTGCGCTGTAGTCAAGAGAAGGGTACGCTGGGAGATGGTGGCAGTCAGCCACGTCAGTATGCAAGCACGATATAAGGCATAACTAAACTGGGCAAAGATAAGATCGAAGTATTGCCCAGGCATCTGAACGAGTACCACTCCAGCTCTACCTGCGTAGAAGGGCAAACAGACAGAGTTAGCGAAGGAGATAAAAGAAAGAAGAAAGACTAACATTTATCACCAGACAAGGTCAAGTGTGATATCTGTTTTAATTAGTCCAATATCTTGAAGTTGACAACAAGCAGCAAAGAAAAAAAAGAAAAAAAGGGAAATAAAAGTCTTATTGTATATTTGAACTTTGAAAATTCGTTATTGAAGCAACAACATCCAGAGCCTGAAGGGAAAAAAAAAAAAAACAGACAAAGCACAGCTGTTCTATCCCATCCAAGATCAGTTGGGAAACCTGCCTGGTGGTACCGGCGGAGGGTTCCCTGTGCTAAGTGCCACCATGGTGGACGACTTCCCGATGCAGGGCTTGATTGCCCTCTCTGTCCTGATGGGTCCCTTGTTCAAAATTATCTGGGCTTCGGGAGGGTATGCACCTCCCGTATGATGATGAGATCAGGAGGGATCAAGCCAGGGCTAACACCTGCAGAGCAGGCTGAAGTGGATCGTCGTCAGGCATAAAAGAAAAAGGAAAGAGAGGAAAGGAAAAGACAAAAAGAGGAAGAAATAAAGAAGAGAATGCAGATAGAAGAAAGAATGAAGAAGGAGATGAAAGAAAGGTTAGAGAAAGAATTGAAAGAGGAAATGCAGACCATTGAAGAAGAAGATGAACCTGCCGATGACAGGCTCATCAGACGGCGGACAGAGAAAGCAGAGAGTAGTCATGCAGGTGAAATGTTGGTTAAACCGCTGGACTGGTACGACCAGTATGCTTACTCCAGCGATAGACTTGAGGAAAAGGAGGAAGAGAGGGACGTCTTTGTGGCAAAACTAGCAACCATTACAGACCAGAAGGAAAGAGACCTCATGCTTGAAGAAAAACGCCCGGAGCTGCACAGTAAATGTTAGGAGCGAAGCGACAAGAACTTGACGAAAGAAAAAGATTACACGCCGAGGGGGCAAGGCTGCAAAGCGAACTGCAAACATAGAAAGACAAACAGGCGACAACCGAAGAAAAACTTGCCCTCTTGACTGAAACAGTTCTTCATACCAAGCAAGAGGTCGCTCCAATCAACCGGACCCTGCAAAAGGTTGAAAGCCACCAGTACGAATTTGAAGGAGTCTGGAGCACCTTCCTTCAGAAGTCCGCCAAAGATGCGGATCTGCACATTCAGTCTTACATTCAAAAGTTAGATAACCACATCACACAAACCTTCACTCCAGCCGTAATTGAGAAGATAATCCAGGGCAGCGGCGCAGGAAGCGGTGGAGGTGGTGATGGAGACGGAGATGGAGGCGATGGAGACAGAAAAGGAAAGGGGGTACTGCGAGACGATAAAGATACTGATGTCAAGAAAATAAAAGTAAGTGTCGTGGACCTACTCTGGCAAAAGGGAGGAGAGTGTTCTTCATTGGATTGCGGCCGTAGAATCTTATGTGTACGGTCAACGCATACCTTATTGGGATAGAGTTTTGATGGCCACTTCGTGTATGGTCGGCGATGCGATGAGCTTCGCCATCTCATTACGAAAAGAAGCTAACTGCGATACTATGATTGCATATTCCCAACAAACTAGAATTGAGGATTTCTTTTTAGCTGTCAGGGAACGGTTTGAAGATAAAAATCTAGCTCACAGAACAGAAATGTTAATTCTGAACATCGCAGACCGAAAATGGAAGAGTGTGTCTGCACTCAAAGCAACAATGGATAAACTCTTACAATGTGCAGAGCATAGATTAACTCCTACCCAAATACTCAATAACTTCTTCCTGATCCTCTCCGTACTCAGCTTTATCCCCGCACAAAAGAAGAAGGGATGACGTATGAGAAGTTCAGCAAGATCGCTATTGATCATGCTGGTTTCTTAGCCGAGGCTAATTACTGCCACTATTGGAAAGATCTGCAAGCGGGAAAGAAGTGGCGGGACCGCACAATCTCAGGGAACATCCCTGGGAAAGACAACCTCCTTTTGACCTTTGAAGAAGGAGGTGTTGAAACTCTTTCCTATGAACAGATAGACTATGGTCTTGAGGAAGGACCCAGCGGTCTGGTAGCTCAGGAGGGGAGCTACGCGGCCGTTGCAGCCCGCGGGGGAGGGCAACAAGGAAGAGGACGCGACCGAGGAAGAGGAGGTCGTGGACGCGGTGGAAGAGGACCCGGTACCCAGAGGGGTGGTGGCGAAGGAAGCTACTACGTGGGTGGAAGGGGCAAAGGTCCCTCGCAAGGTGGCCGGGGTTCATATTCTACCTGGGGAAGAGGAAGAGGCACGTGGTATGGAAATTGGGACAAACCATATCCACCCCGTCGAGGTCTGCCCAAATGGGAGCCTTGGAAGCAATTGGGGATCACAGAAAAGGTTTGGCAAGAAAGAAAAGCCGCTGATCAGTGCCTCAAATGTGGTGACCCCAACCACATTTTTCCCTATTGCCCTGATTACAAAATACTAAAAGGGAACTGCCAGTAGGGGGCTCAGTTGCCTCTACAGGAACTTCGGATGTAGAAAGAAAGACATCCTCCCATCTGAAGGTTCCGTTGGCAGAAACTGAAGAGGAAGACAGTTCCCACCTAGTTAACTGTCCAGAGGTAGTAAGTGTGTGTACCTCTCTAGGTGGATCCCTCACTGGCATGGGCGATGAGTTGGCCGCTCGTCGCCAAGCCTGGACTGAAATGAAAAAGCGAAGAGGACAGTTAATAATTGCAGATCTTGAAGTAAATAAAGTAAGAGTTGGTGGAATGGTTGACACGGGGTCAACACGCAGCTACATAAGTAAGAAAGGTTTGCAAAAGCTGCGTCTCGGGCTTAAGGTAAAGCAATTATATGAGCCCATAGTAAGTAAATTAGCTAATAGTACAGTAATTGTAATAGATAAGTATGTTGAAGGAGTCAAGATATACTTCCGGCTCGAAGCAGAGGGGAAGGTGGAACGCGTTCTCCACTCTTTGACTCTCTTGGTGGAAGATAATCTTCCTTTTGACATCCTCCTGGGATGGATTGGGGTGAAGCTGCAGATGCGGATGTGAAGTTAAGGAACCATGAGTGTTGGTTCCCTAGTCCGCAAGGTGGAAAGAAGAAAATCTGCCTTTTTCATGAATCAGGTAAGGAAAGCAGCTTAGCTCATTGTTGTACGAGTGCCCCCGCGTTTGCCCGCCATGTGAAGAAGTATAACCTGTATGACCAAGTATTTGTTGCATATGTGCGCCCAGTAAAAGAGAGAGAGGTCAAAGAAGAAGCAAAACCCCCCGAAATTGAAAACATTTTGAAAGAATTCGCAGATGTGGCAATGCCCCAAGCGGTGTGGTAGAACGACCAATCAAACATCGCATTGAAATCATACCAGGAAGCTCGATTCCTAAGGGGCCTATATATCGGATGTCACCTAAAGAGTTCGATGAACTGCGAGCACAGCTTGATGAATTGTTGGAAAAGGGGTGGATAAGACCTAGCTCCTCGCCCTATGGTGCGCCTGTGCTATTCGTACCGAAGAAAGATGGCGGGGTACGCATGTGTATAGATTATAGAACACTTGATGATATAACAGGAAAAAATGCTAGCCATTACCAAGAATAGATGATTTGTTGGATCGAGTGCAGGGTAACAAGTACTTCACTAAGATTGATCTGAAGTCTGGCTATCATCAGATTGAAGTAGAGCCAGAAGACCAATATAAGACTGCCTTTCGAACAAGGTACGGGCATTATGAGTTCGTGGTGTTGCCCTTTGGTCTTACGAATGCACCTGCAACCTTCCAAAGAACAATGAATGAGCTTTTCCGCGAATGGCTTGATAGATTTGTAGTCATGTATCTCGATGATATTCTAATTTTTTGTAAGGCTTTAAAAGAACATTGCGAGCACCTTCGACTTGTGCTAAATAAGTTGCATGAAGCAAAATTAAAGTTAAACCCGAAGAAGTGTGATTGGGCTAAGCGTCAGGTTTTGTATTTGGGGCATGTACTTGATGGTGATGGTATCAAACCGGAGGATACAAAATTGCAGCAATTCGGGATTGGCCTAACCCCTGCACTTTGACTGAGTTGCGGTCGTTCCTTGGGCTGGCCAACTATTATCGGAAGTTCGTTAAACACTTCACGATAATCGCTGCGCCCCTTCGCAGATTGCTTAAGAAATAAACCATCTGGAAGTGGGATTCAGACTGTACGGCTTCGGTCAAACGCCTAAAGAAATGTCGGATTAACTATCCGGTTTTGAAGGTTGTTGATCCTTCCTTGCCCTTTGTTGTCACAACCGACGCCAGTCAGTATGGGATAGGTGTTGTACTCCAACAAGATGATGGGAATAGCTACAGACCCGTAGACTTCATGTCCCAACGACTGTCTAATGAGAAGGTCGCCGCTTCCACGTACGAGAGAGAGAGCTGTATGCTCTTCGGGAGGCTCTAGATCATTGGCGACCCTATCTCTTAGGACGCCACTTTAAAGTGTACTCAGATCATGAGACACTTCGCTGGCTTAGAACGCAGACCCTGATGACACCTAAACTGACAAGGTGAGCCGCTGAGATCGATCAATACGACTTTGAATTAAAGCCAGTTAAGGGTAAGTACAATGTTGTTGCTGACGCATTGAGTCGAAGATCTGACTTTTTTGGTACCGTTGTGATATACTTAGATATGGGCACCGACTTGCAAGATAAAATTAAAAATGCGTATTCCATAGATCATGTCGATGGCGCTATGATTAAACGTGTGCAAGAAACAACGCAGGAGTTTCCTAACTACCGAGTTACACAGGGATTGTTGTTTGAGTAAACAGACGTGCATGACAGGCTTTGTATTCCAAACGTGGAAGAGATCAAAAGCTTGATCTTGGGGGAATGCCATGATACCGAAGGCCATTTCGGCTGGAAGAAGACTTATGCAAGCCCATTGCGTTCCTACACATGGCCTCACATGAAAGCTGACTGCATTGCCTATGTGCAAGGTTGTCAAGTATGCCAAAGAAACAAGAGCACTACTCAACCTCCCCTTGGACTACTAAAGCCCTTGTCAATTCCAACAGGTCTTGGAGACTCCGTATCCATTGATTTTATGGATACCAAGGTAAAGAGCAGGAATGGAAAGACGCAGGTCATGGTCATCGTTGACATATTTAGTAAGTATGCTGTATTCGTAGCATTACCCGCGGAAGGAAAGACCGAATTAGTAATCTGGGAGTTCTTTAACCATTGGGTAAAGGATTATGGACATCCCTTACGATTGTAAGTGACAGAGATTCACGTTTCACAAGTGAACAATGACAACCACTCATGAATGTCTATGGCTCTAAGTTAACCATGTCATCAGGTAGACACCCTGAGACAAACAGCCAGACTGAGCAAATGAATAAGATTTTGCAGCAGACATTCCGCATGTACATCCGTCCCGACCAGAGTGATTGGAATGAACATTTGTCCAAAGTTGCTAATGCCTATAACAACTCTGTTCACCTATCTACATGCAGGACTCTGATGGAACTGCATTTGGGATGGCGACCACGTAGACCCATTGATCGCTTAAATCCGGATCAAGTACATAAGCTTCCTCTAGGGACAAGTGAGTTTGCAATACAGTATCAACGAGATATTGGAAAGGTAAAAGGAAATATAGTAAAGGCACAACAGCAAATGGTGGAACAGGCAAATAAGCTGTAGGTGATTTGGTGTGGGTTAAGTCTAAAGAATTTGCTCCCGAGAAGAACATTTCTCAGAAGTTACTACCCGCCAACAAAGGACCTTGGCAAATTCTTGATGTGATTGGAGAGGTAGATGGACCTTCTTATGTAGTTGAGATTCCTCTACATTTGCATACGTATCCAGTGTTTCACGGCTCAAAGCTTCTACCTTGCGTGACAAATGAGTTGTTTCCCAGTCGCAGATTGGCGATACCTCCTAGTATGAATGGGAAATATGATGTGGATAAGATTGTTGCTGAAAGCACTTTCCTAACCGGACGAAGAGGCAGGCCCCAGCGACAATATAAAGTAAGATTCGCTTATCAAGAGCCAAGTGAAGATCGCTGGTTTACAAGAGAAAATTTGCTTGAAACTGCACCTCACATTGTATCTGCATATGAAAGAGCTAAAAGAGGAATAAATATTATTGATAGATGAAGATTTTCTCAGAGGATTTCGAATCTAGGCCGGCGAGAGTAAAAGGGCCTGTACCCGATTCAGCCCCTGATCGACGAAAGCAGCATATTGGGGTCCCTCGCCCAGAGCCCAATTCGTGAAAGCAGATCAACAGACATGTTCTCTGTGTCAAAGGTCACATCCTGGCTACAGTAAAGACAATGTCAAAGGTCATGGTTGGGCCCTGGACGAAGAGTCACCATGTTTAGATTTAGAGGTCACATCTGTTCGCTAGGGGCAATGCAAGTCATGTGTATTCAAACAAGGGATGTGTCTGTACGTGCAGTCAATGTGTCTGTTCGTGCAGGAAGAATGTCTGTTCGTGCATTAGGTGTGTCTGTCCAACAGAAGTCAAAGAGTTAAGTTCCAGTCCAGATTCAAGTCAGAAAGAAAGTCTAGATTCAGATTGGGAGTCCGAAATCAAGGCCTGAAGGCCGCAGCAGCAGCAACCCCTGAAGGAAAGGGATCTGGGACACATACACAGAGGCTGGGACTGGGAAAGGACCAGGACAGACAGAATTCAGACTTCGCCAGGGGAGGCCAGCACTATAAGAAACGAGGCAGCCTCCCCCAGGGACAGATTTCCATAGGCATTGATGCGTGGAAGTGCTGAGGCACTTGTGCGCTATAGTGCTGGAGAGGCGCTGGCTGAAGAAGAGCTGCGCCAGGAAGAAGGGAGGCTGGGCGCTGGCTGCAGGGAAGCCATAGCTGCGCCAGCCTATGTTAGTAGTAGGAGGGATGGTTAGTAGTGGGATATCAGTGAGTTACATTCAGAGTAGATTTTCGTAGGTGAGAGTGTGCATGCATAGTGAAAGGAAGAGAACCAAGACAGAGGTATCGAGAGAGAAGAAAGCAAGAGAGAGAAGACAGGGAGTGAGTTTGGATGTGGTGGACACTTACCTGTTGGCGCCACACTTGTGATCTGAAGGAGAACGCTGGTTGAGCCAGGTTCCACGGAGTTTTATGAAGAGGGAGACTTACCTCTTGTTGGCGCTGATCTCTGGAACTCATGATACTCTTTGTATTAAGTGACATTGATAATGTAAGCTGCGCTACTTGGTTCTTATCTCATCTCAATCTGTCTTTGCGTGAGACCATTTTGTACGTGTGATGACATGTATGCATGCGGTGTGATGCACTCGAGCAAGCTGTGAACAGTCAGGTTCCTTGCACAAAGGGGAAGAGTGGGAGGGATAGCGGTACATGTCATGGATGGGGGGAACATGGGGGGACGGGGAAGGGGGGAAGGGCTAAGGTGGAGTGTGGAAGGCC